GCTGATGGCATTATTGAGATTAATGTTCCTATTAGCATTTCATTTGCAAAAAAAAATGTTGCTATATGACGAGTGGTATTTGAAGTAAGTAATGTTGTTGTTGATGTATTTAACCTGCAGATGTGAGGGCTGTTTGAGTGTGCTCTATATAAAACAGTTATATTATTATTAGTAGTAGTATTAACATTCATCTACCGTTATTGTTTTTTGATGCCACAAAACTCAAAAAGGCATTTTTAATGTTCTCGTGCCACAGTCTTATACGAAACCTACAAAATATGTGATACTTGTTTGGATACATTTTTTTGTTCTTCTTTAGTCCTACAAGTCAGCAATAATCACACCGAGTCAACATAGTGTTCCTTTAGCCACAAGATGTTCATATAAAGGACTACAACCCTTTCTCCAACAATCATACAATTACTGAGAGATGAGTGGGTCATGTTGGGAAATAAAGAACGATAATATGCCTCGCTGTTGAACTTGTTCCACTTATCCCGTCTGTGTGTGAGAGTGAGGAAGCTGATTCTGCAGATGTCACAGTGCCATGTATTTGCTTAGCAGTTAAGGGTAGAAAATGACTCGCTCAGGCTTCAAAAATGTTCCCCTGGAGGCGTGTTTTCCAGCAAGCCTGTGAGCCGAGTCGCTTTGAAAGCATTCATTCCCAGCGTGAAATAGAAAACTAAATATATTTAGGATCATTTATTGCTATGCGACTTACCTGGAGAGTGAGTTTCGTCTTATCCTTTCCAGCGAGCGATGAACTGTAAAGACCAAACAGAACCAGACGTTTTTAAACATGACTGTTAGACAGGTTGAACTCTAAAGTCTGACACATTTACATGATCAGTGTTAAACACACACAATCCACCAGGGAGCTCACCTTAGTCTTTCTAAACAGAGCGAAACCTGCTCATCATATCTGTAGAAGTGGGCTTTTGAATGGTCGAAGCTTGTGTATGGTAAACCTGTAGCGTCGGGTATGGCATCTAGAGAGAAGGGAAACATATGACATTTACAAATCACATTTATCAGTTTCTTTGATATAAAAACCTTTGCAACAAACAGCAGATTGAATCTTGCAGGTTGGCTTCAATTCACTCCTGCCCCTGCCTAACAAACTGGTCATAAATCATAATTCATATCTGCCATTTGATCAACTTTAGAAGCCATTTGCATTTTCTTAGGTTACTGATGCAACAGATAAACCGCTTTCACACAAAGTACTTTGCCGTACTTAGTTCCCAGCACTTAGTACTCCCATGGAACTAAGAGCCGATCATGTTCACACCGGAATAAGTTCCCTGAGGGAGGATTAGTCAAATGAAGCTGCTGATGTCACTTCTTCTTCTTCTTCTGCTTTGGGTTTACTGGCAGGCCGCAAACGCACCTAGTTAGGATGCCACCTGGGCGCCTCCCTAGGGAGGTGTTCCAGGCACGTCCAGCTGGGAAGAGACCAAGGGGTAGACCTAGAACCAGATGGAGGGATTATATCTCTTCGCTGGCCTGGGAGCGCCTTGGGATCCCCCAGTCAGAGTTGGTTGATGTGGCCAGGGAAAAGAAAGTTTGGGGCTCTCTGCTGGAACTGCTACCTCCGCGACCCGACCACGGATAAGCGGGAGAAGATGGATGGATGGATGGCAGGCCGCAAACAACTTCACGGCGTATACTGCCNGTCCCCGGTTGTTGGGGACTGGCCTCAGTAGAAGCTGCTGGGACTCCCAGCAGCTTCTACTGAAGCCTTCCGAGTAAACCGCCAGAACGCCGACACCTCCTCATCTCCACCGCTCCCATGTTTTATTTTGTGTTGCCATAAGTTAGTCTCTCTGCGTTTCTGCACTGGGCTAATGCTAATAATGCTAATAAAATGGTGGCTTCACAACACTTTTTTTGAGTTTTACGGGGCGTGGTTTGCAATCCGCCCAGCCAATCAGAAATATAGCTCTTTTCTCACAAGAGAGCCGCATGAGAGTCCCTGCTCTCTAGCAGGGACGGAAAAGGGGGTAAAAAGGTTCTCATGAACTAATTTTAGTTCCGGCTCTTTTTGGTGTGAACGCGACATTTCGGAACTATATCGGAACTAAAGTGGGAAAAGTACTCCGGTGTGAACGCGGCTAATGACTCAGCCTATCATAACAACCTATTGAGACTGTCCAACAACATCATCTCTGACCCAAACCATGTTCTGAACAGTGAATATGAGCTGCTACCATCTAATCAGAGATACAGGGTCCCACCATTCAATAAAGTCAGACTGAAGCATCCTTTGTGCATCAGCCAATCCTCACAGTAAATACAGAGCTGATCCCAGATCAAATGCACGCTGAAGGCTCTTTGAGCAGCTTTTCTCTCACTGATTGTGCTGTTATGTTAAATGTTTGTTGTTTGTGTTCCATGTATTTTTGTCTGGATATTTGTCTGTTGATGTTGGACATGGAGCTGCTGTGACGCAAGTCCAATTTCAGACTTGATCTGACAAATAAAGTCATATCGTATCGTATCATCTTCTAATGAAAGTGTTTTGGGCAGTTGTTGCGTGTTTGCCACTTATTGGCCACCGTACAATCTCCCTCCAAATATAGAGTGTATATGTTAAACATCCAAATAAAACCCATTCATGAACTGCAGGTTAAATCGCAACAGGGAGAACATCAAAAGGTAATCTCTTGAAAATGTCTGATCTTCACTTTGAGTTTTCACCGTAACAAAAGTCAACTCTTGCCCTTCAAGCCATTAGCAGAGCTGGAGAACGACTCTTTATTAGTAAAGTATGTCCGCTCCCACTTCAGGCTCGTCCCGCTGTGGAAGCTCAGAATTTATGTTCCGCAGGGAGCCGCTGCTGAACAGACGACCCACATGTGTCTCTGCCTTTAAAGGCATTCTGAACTGATTTGGGGGATATCGTAAAGCAAATGATAAATTTGTACTCCTGTCAAGTGCGGCTGTGCACTGACTATTTGCTCCAGGAATCAAGTAGGAATGCCATATATCCCGACTGATTGCTACTACCCGCCAGCTTATGGCAGAATACATTGCATCATTAAAGGTATCGGAGGAAATAACTTAGGCTTTGTTCCTGCTATTGTGCTGACATCTAACAGGCCGTTTGATGTAATAAAGATCTATGCGGAGAGACAGACACTGAACATGTGTCTGCCTACTAATAACAAATACACATTCATCCTCTTCCTGCTTCTCTCTGTTTTCCTCTAAAGTCCCAACATCTTGCAAACGCTTTCTGGCAAGTGCAGATATCATATCTGCCATCGTTCTTTGGCCTGGGTTTTACATTTCTCTTATTTCATTTCCTCCTTTGCATGGTTGGATTGTACTTGTGCCATACAGAGGACACTTTTTAAGAATGATCTATTTCATAATCAAAAAAAGTCACAACACAATCAATGCAACGTCTGATTTTCAGTTGATTGATTTTTTAAATACAGTAAAGAGTAGGGGTGATTCCCTTTGATCTGAAACCTTAGTGCGTAAAAGAATGTACGCAATTTAATCAAATGACCAAGTTTGACCCTTAATTCCTCCCTTAAATTTCAGAAAATGCTGAAGCATGCGCTAGCCAGTTTCTTAATAACGCACAGGAGTGGGAGATAGCGGAAAGGATAGTGCTCGCAATATGGAAGTGACTGCAAGAATACTACCATACAAGATACAAACACATTATACGGAGGGGAATCATCATCTCTCTGTGATAACGTCTTTGTCAATGCTAAAGCTAAGTGTCGCAAAACCTTTGCCAATAATTCAGAAATCATAAAAACTAAGCTTTTGATGTTATGATTAAATAAAAACCCTCAGATTTCTCTTATCAGTTTGTGCTGCATTTCTTTATTGCAACCCCACTATAAAAACAGATTGTTATTGTGATTAACCCAATTACATATTTTAATTGATTGACATCACTTGTAAAAATCGAACTACTTTTTCAAAATATGTCATCTTCAAATGGCAAAATTATTCAATTACACAATGTAATAAATGTAATGTAATGTAAATGTGATAGCGTCTTTGTCGATGCTAAAGCTAAGTGTCGCAAAACCTTTCCCAATAATTCAGAAATCATAAAAACAAAGCTGTGATTGGGGCTGCTCAATTAATCGTATTTTGATCACAATTACGATTTTGGCTTGCAACGATTATGAAAATAACATAATTGAAATAAAATGAATTTTTTTTATTTTTTTTATTATTATTATTTATCTAAAAAAAATATATATATTATTT